GCCGGAGGAGTTATGGCCAGCTGTCTTGCTTGTTCACCAAGCAAGATGTTCTTCTTTGGGAGTTCGAGCGATTACAGTTGAAGGCAGTGGAGTCAACTTCGACAGTCGGGGGCGTGTTGGCCTCTTTGGTTGTGGGACCGACTCTTCGAGAGAGGATAGTCGCCGAGCAACCGAATGACCGTTTCCTATGCCGGATGAGAGAGTTGTCGGAAGCCGGTAGAATTGGTGGATTCGCAGTCGCATCTGATGGGGCCTTGGTCTTTGAGGGTAGACTTTGTGTCTCGAAGGTGTGGGAGCTGCGAAGGGAGATTTTGAGAGAGGCCCATAGTGCCCCGTACACCATCCATCCTGGTAGCACGAAGATGTATCAGGACCTGAGGAAGTCTTTCTGGTGGCGAGGCATGAAGAGGCAGGTAGCAAAGTTCGTGGATGGGTGCCTGGTGTGTCAGCAAGTGAAGGCTGAGCGCCAGAAACCGAGAGGGTTGTTGCAACCCCTTGAGGTTCCCCTGTGGAAGTGGGAGTGCATCACCATGGATTTCTTAGTGGGACTGCGGAAGTCGAGGGGCGGGTATGATTCGATTTGGGTGATAGTGGATCGCCTTACGAAGTCTGCCCATTTTCTGCCAGTGCGAACGACCATGAAGGCGAGTGATTACGCCGAATTGTTCGTCAAGGACATTGTTAAACTTCATGGAGTGCCCGTGGAGATTGTTTCGGATCGAGATGCCAAGTTCACATCCCAGTTCTGGAGGACGTTGCACCGAGCCATGGGGACGAGGTTGGAGTTCAGTACAGCCTTTCACCCCCAGACAGATGGTCAGTCGGAGCGTGTGATCCAGTACTTGGAGGATATTTTGAGGGTTGTGGTCTTGGACCGAAGCCTTACTTGGGAGTATGCCCTTCCGCTAGTCGAGCTGACCTACAACAACAGCTATCACCCTTCGATCAAGATGGTCCAGTACGAGGCTTTGTACGGACGTAAGGTCCGCACCCCTTTGTATTGGGATGAGGTCAGAGAGAGGAGGATTACATGTCCGGATTTCGTTCAGAGTACTGCAGCGACCGTTGAGGAGATCCGGAAAAACATCAGGTCTGCCCAGGAGAGGCAGAAGGTCTATGCCGACCGGGAGAGGCAGGAGCATGTTTATGCTGTGGGAGATCATGTCTTTCTGAAGGTTTCACCCATGCGAGGTGTGATTCGCTTCGGGAAGAAAGGGAAGCTTAAACCTCGCTATATTGGGCCGTTCGAGATCCTCGACCGAGTTGGAAACTTAGCGTATCGACTGGCTTTACCACCAGACTTGTCAGGTGTGCACGACGTGTTCCATGTATCGATGCTTCGGAGGTATGTGCATGATCCTGATCATGTGGTGGACATCGGCGAGCTGCAGGTCGAGCGAGACCTTAC